GTCCTCAAAAAGGCTGGAGGGAGGAGGTAAAGGAGGTTTTGTGGGTGAGGGGCTTGGACTTCCAGCAAGCATGCGTGAGCGTGTTAGATAGGAGTGAATGGAGATGAATAGTATTTGGGACCTGACGAGTTGTTGGAGTGTGAGCAGGGTAATATTTAGTGAAGGGATTCAGGGAAACTGGTTATCTTTATATAGCCAGACTTGAGCACTGGAAATAGGAAGTACAATGCCTGCACTTTAGAGACAAACATATACCTGGAGTTTACCTGGAGAGAGTTCCAGGGGTCAACGCCCCCGCGGCCCGGTCTGTGACCAGGCCTCCTGGTGGATCAGAGCCTGATCAACCAGGCTGTTGCTGCTGGCTGCACGCAAACCAACGTACGAGCCACAGCCCGGCTGATCCGGAACTGACTTTAGGTGCTTGTCCAGTGCCAGCTTGAAGACTGCCAGGGGTCTGTTGGTAATCCCCCTTATGTGTGCTGGGAGGCAGTTGAACAGTCTCGGGTCCCTGACACTTATTGTATGGTCCCTTAACGTGCTAGTGACACCCCTGCTTTTCATTGGGGGGATGGAGCATGTCTGCCAAGTCTTTTGCTTTCGTAGTGAGTGATTTTCGTGTGCAAGTTCGGTACTAGTCCCTCTAGGATTTTCCAGGTGTATATAATCATGTATCTCTCCCTCCTGCGTTCCAGGGAATACAGGTTTAGGAACCTCAAGCGCTCCCAATAATTGAGGTGTTTTATCTCCGTTATGCGCGCCGTGAAAGTTCTCTGTACATTTTCTAGGTCGGCAATTTCACCTGCCTTGAAAGGTGCTGTTAGTGTGCAGCAATATTCCAGCCTAGATAGAACAAGTGACCTGAAGAGTGTCATCATGGGCTTGGCCTCCCTAGTTTTGAAGGTTCTCATTATCCATCCTGTCATTTTTCTAGCAGATGCGATTGATACAATGTTATGGTCCTTGAAGTTGAGATCCTCCGACATGATCACTCCCAGGTCTTTGACGTTGGTGTTTCGCTCTATTTTGTGGCCAGAATTTGTTTTGTACTCTGATGAAGATTTAATTTCCTCATGTTTACCATATCTGAGTAATTGAAATTTCTCATCGTTGAACTTCATATTGTTTTCTGCAGCCCACTGAAAGATTTGGTTGATGTCCGCCTGGAGCTTTGCAGTGTCTGCAATGGAAGACACTGTCATGCAGATTCGGGTGTCATCTGCAAAGGAAGACACGGTGCTGTGGCTGACATCCTTGTCTATGTCGGATATGAGGATGAGGAACAAGATGGGAGCGAGTACTGTGCCTTGTGGAACAGAGCTTTTCACCGTAGCTGCCTCGGACTTTACTCTGTGACGACTACTCTCTGTGTTCTGTTAGTGAGGAAATTATAGATCCATCGACTGACTTTTCCTGTTATTCCTTTAGCACGCATTTTGTGCGCTATTACGCCATGGTCACACTTGTCGAAGGCTTTTGCAAAGTCTGTATATATTACATCTGCATTCTTTTTGTCTTCTAGTGCATTTAGGACCTTGTCGTAGTGATCCAATAGTTGAGACAGACAGGAGCGACCTGTTCTAAACCCATGTTGCCCTGGGTTGTGTAACTGATGGGTTTCTAGATGGGTGGTGATCTTGGACAGGTAGCAAGTTACTAAATGCTATAGTGTTTATGAGGATAGTGAGGCTTAGGTCAGGGTGTGTAGAAGAGAGGGAGACTACTTCCTGGTAAAGGTGGGTCTTTGACAGGGATGTGTAATGCCACCATGGTTGTTTAATATATTTATAGATGGGTTTGTAAAAGAAGTAAATGCTAGGGTGTTGGGGAGAGGGGTGGGATTAAATTATGGGGAATCAAATACAAAATGGGAATTGACACAGCTTCTTTTTGCTGATGATACTGTGCTTATGGGAGATTCTAAAGAAAAGACGAGTTTGGGAGTGTGTGTAAAGGTAGAAAGTTGAAAGTGAACATAGAAAAGAGTAAGGTGATGAGTGTGAGTGTGAGCGTGAGTGTGAGTTTTCATCAGAGCTGCCTCCTGGTGTTATTACTGCAACAATATTATTTGCTATATTCCTCCATTTTAGGTGCCTTAAGTTGAAATCCCCCAGGAGCAAGATGTTGGGTGCAGGAGCTGGAAGGTTTTCCAGACAGTGGTCAATTTTTAACAGCTGTTCCTGGAATTGCTGGGATGTTGCATCCGGAGGCTTGTAGACTACCACAATGACTAGGTTTTGGTTCTCGACCTTTACTGCTAAAACTTCCACTACATCATTTGAGGCATTTAGCAGTTCTGTGCAAACAAGTGACTGCAATGTACAGGCCAACCCCCCCCTTTTGCCTGTTCACTCTGTCACATCTGTATAGGTTGTAACCTGGGATCCATATTTCGTTGTCCAAGTGATCCTTTATGTGGGTCTCAGTGAAAGCCGCGAACATTGCCTTTGCCTCTGCAAGCAGTCCACGGATGAAAGGTATTTTGTTGTTTGTTGCTGGCTTTAGACCCTGTATATTTGCAAAGAAGAATGTTATCGGACTGGTGGTATTGTTGGTACTGCCAATATCCTGGGATATTGGCAGTTTGGAGGGATATGTTGTGTATCTTTATATGTATATGTTTCTAAGCTGTTGTGTTCTAGGCACCTCTGCAAAAAACAGTGATCATGTATGAGTGAGGTGAAAGTGTTGAATGATTTGGAGATTTTCTTTCTTTTTGGGTCACTCTGCCTCGGTGGGAGACGGCCAACTTTAAAAAAAAAAAAAATAAATAAATAAAATAAAAAAAAAAAAATGTGTTCTAAGGTTCGTAGGTTTGACTCTCCTTCAGCCAGAGATCAGTGTTTGTGTATATTTCACCTGCTCTCACGAATTCCTTGCATTGTTAAAATCTCTAGCAAGGCTGATGCATGCAGGGGATGAGATGAAAAGCTGTAAGCCTTCTCCCTGAAAGTTGGCTGCCTTGGATCAAAGTCTAGCGCAAGCTGGTGAGTTTGGTATAGCATTGCATACCTTGTTCCAAGGTTCGTAGGTTTGAGTCTCCTTCAGCCAGAGATCAGTGTTTGTGTATATTTCGCCTGCTCTTGCGAATTCCTCACACACACACACACACACATATATCTTCTTTCTTTCAACACACCGGCCATATCCCACCGAGGCGGGGTGGCCCAAAGGAAAAACGAAAGTTTCTCCTTTAACATTTAGTAATATATACAGGAGAAGAGGTTACTAGCCCCTTGCTCCCAGCATTTTAGTCGCCTCTTACAACACGCATGGCTTATGGAGGAAGAATTCTGTTCCACTTCCCCATGGAGATAAGAGGAAATAAACAAGAATAAGAACTAGAAAGAAAATAGAAGAAAACCCAGAGGGGTGTGTATATATATGCTTGTACATGCATGTGTAGTGTGACCTAAGTGTAAGTAGAAGTAGCAAGACGTACCTGAAATCTTGCATGTTTATGAGACAGACAAAAGGACACCAGCAATCCTACCATCATGTAAAACAATTACAGGTTTCCGTTTTACACTCACTTGGTAGGACGGTAGCACCTCCCTGGGCAGTTGCTGTTTACCAACCTACTACCTACCTACACATTATATATACACCTACCATCCGACTTACGACCTGCTCGACTTACGACCACTCGACTTACGACCGTGTTTTTTATGCCAAATTTCTGGGAAATAAACAGCTATTTGTGTTGTACACAGTGTTTATCCTAAACCTTACAGTATAAAATACAGTACTAACAACATAAAAAGTAAAGTAAAACATGAAATACCAAAATAAAACAATAAAATAAAGTCATTACAAAAATGTTTTGTTGATATTCAGTAGTAAAGTTCGACTTATGACCATTTCGACTTACGACCGGCTTCTCGGAACCGAACTCGGTCGTACGTTGGATGGTAGGTGTATATACAGTGGACCCTCAGCTAACGATATTAATCCGTTCCTGAAAGCTCATCGTTAGCTGAAATTATTGTTACCTGAATTAATTTTCCCCATAAGAAATAATGGAAATCAAATTAATCCGTGCAAGACACCCCAACGAAAAAAAAAAAAATTTTTACCACATGAAATATTAATTTTAATACACACAAGCTGACACTTACCTTTATTGAAGATCTGGTGATGATTGATGGGATGGGAGGAGGGGAGAGTGTGGAAGTTGTTAATGTTTAGAAGGGGAATGAATCCCCTTCCATAGGACTTTAGGTATCAAGTCCTTTTCCAGGGTTACTCCCCTTCTTCTTTTAATGCCACTAAGGACCAGCTTTAGAGTCACTGGACCTCTGTCGCACAACAAATCTGCCTATAGAGGTCTGTACCTCCCGTTCATTTAAGATTTGCCTAAAATGGGCCACAACACTGTCATTGTAATAGTCACCAGCATGGCTTGCAATACCTGTGTTAGGGTGATTTTCATCCATAAAGGTTTGCAGTTCAACCCACTTTGCACACATTTCCTCAATCTTTGAAGTAGTCACAATGGATTCCACAACTGGCATAGGCATCTCAGGGTTAGCCCCAAACCCTTCAAAATCTTTCTTAATTTCCATACTAATTCTCACCCTTTTTATCACAGGGTTGGCACTAGAAGCTTTCTTGGGGGCCATTGTAACTTATTTTGCAGGTACAATCACTAAAAACGCTGTGATAATATGAAATGTTCCGATTGTATGCATGGATGCGACCGCACTGGCTGGCTTGTAAACACTGGCACCCACGGGACAACTGAGGCACGCTCAGGCCACACGTGGACGCGTCTCGAACAAATTGTATTGGCCGAGTTTTTTAGCGTTAGCTGAAGCAAAATTTTTGTGTTAAAATGTATCGTTAGCTGGATTTAACGTTAGCTGATGCCATCGTTAGCTGAGGGTCCACTGTATATATATATATATATATATATATACACACACACAACAACAATTAAGTAACCTTCAATTTAACAAATTCAATCCTGAATTTCCATGCTCAATTCTGAGGTCAAATCATACCTTGAGAGCAGCCATGCTTTCTACCAGCCATGATTCCACTTCCTGTACTTTTCTCTTGTGAACAGCCAGGTCATCTCGGGTTGTAGGGGAATATACATCAACCCACAAGGCTGACCCTACCTGAACAATATTACAATAAATTTTAATGGTAATTTATCATTAACACTGAAAACTGTTGCTAGTTAAAAAAAAAAAAAAAAAAAAAAAAAAGGCAGGTTATTTCCCAGACAAAATCAACCGAAGGGTCAAAATATGCCAATGATTTTTTTTTTTTTGCTTGTTAAATCATTACTGAAAGCTAGAGAAAAATTGATATGACCTATGACCATTTTTATAAAATCATTTAGATTACAAGCAATCTGCAAATGAAGGAAAAAGGTTAAGTTCAGAAGAACTGGAGTAAGATAAAGACATGAACCACAGTGCTGGTAATGGGAGATGACCTGTTGGAAATAGGACAAATTACAAAATATAAGTATGTAAAACACTATGTTACCCCAAGATTATGAATTAGACACGTGCAACACTTGGGTATCTTTAATGAGGAAACTTTTTGCCAGACAGTGGCTTCATCAGTCCATACAAAGGAGAATGGTGAAAAACAGGAGTAGTTTGATGTAATCAGTCCCTCAGCCTTGAGTCTATGCGGTCAGTCCATCAATCTTGAAAAGAATACAGCATATGTGCGAAGCAGCAGCTTATATACTGTAGGCAGGAGAGGTGCAGCAGTTGTAAGTGGCATCACATTTGTCCAATGTGGAAGCAGGTCATCCCCAAGGATTAGGCAAGTGGAGAATTCCCTGTATTAACCCTTTGAGGGTCGGTCATGTACGTCATAGCAGCCAGGGTCAGTCACGTATTTGTATGCCTAAATTCTAGCGCCTTCAAATCTGCTGGCAGGCCTATATATGAAAGAATGGGTCTGTGTGGTCAGTGTGCACAGTATAAAAAAATCCTGAAGCACGCAGTGCATAATGAGAAAAAAAACTGAACGTGTTTTTGGTTTAAAACAGCGACTTTCTAGTGTATTTTTGTATGGTATTTATGATTGTATTCTCGTTTCCTTGGTCTCATTTGATAGAATGGAAAATATATTACAGAAATAGAGATGATTTTCTTTGGTTTCACGATGACAAGTACCTTGAAATTGAACTCAAAGTAGCGAGAATGATCGATTTTTGCTGATGTTCAAGAGTAAACAAATCATGCCACGTGTCCAATACACGTCAACTGGCGAGTCTAATATTCTTTTGCAAGTGTGCTGACATCATTTATACCATTTTTACAATGATGCAGTAATATACATAATAAAAAAAACGTCTATTTTCTGTGAGAATAAAAATTCAAAATGGAAAGCAAAAGTAATGTAAGAGGGGCCTAGAGATGTGACTAGTGAACAAATAAAATAGTTTAGTGCCATGAATGTCTATCTTGTTTATTCTGGATCCTGTTAGGAAATTGGTATCTTTTGAAATTTTGTGTGAAATTACCCAAACTGTCAATTTCTGACCACTTTATTGGGTAGTTGAAATTGGTAAATGGGCAATCTTGTTTCATTTGGTAAAACAAATGGAGTTCTAGAGAAAGAGCTATGATTTTAGTCAACTGCAACATTGGCATTGGCCAAAAATAGGGTTCAATGTGGGCGAAATCACTGATGTGTAAATATCGTGAAGACTGCAACTTCACGAGAGCATAATTCCATAAGTTTTCCATCAAATTTCGTACTTTTGGTGTCATTATGATCGGAAAAAGATTCTCTATCATTTCGCAAGAAAAAATCTTTTTTTTTTTTCAAGAATTTTTCGAATGAGACCGAGTTTGGGAGAGGGCCTCTCGACCCTCAAAGGGTGAAGATCCCACAATGTTGCCCTGTCAGACAGGAATGTAGATGAATGGTTCAGAGAACCGACAAGTTGATAAATTAGACACGTGCAACACTTGGGTATCTTCAATGAGGAAACGTTTTGCCACAAAGTGGCTTCATCAGTCCATACAAAGGAGAATGGTGAAAAACAGGAGGAATTTGAGGTTTCAGTCCCTCAGCCTTGAGTCGATGTGATCAGTCCATCACATCAACTGAAGGCTGAGGGACTGATTACCTCAAACTCCTCCTTTTCTCCACCATTCTCCTTTGTATGGACTGATGAAGCCACTGTGTGGCGAAACGTTTCCTCATTAAAAATACCCAAGTGTTGCACATGTGTTATTTATCATCTAACATGTATAATGACAATGTAATGTTTCACTTTCAACAAGTGTTAAAACAAAGCCTGAAACAAACCTCACTGGACAGTTTTTTAATGAGACAAAGAACCAGTGAGCCAGAATAAGGTGTTAGTGGTGAAAAGAGAAAGGAGAGAGAGAAAACCAGAAGGATAGTTGCCTGGCATATTAATAGAAGGCGACTCTCCTTCCAAGCAGTAACAACCCCCTCCTCTCCTCCACCTCCTGCTTCCAGTATGCCATTAGCTCTCCTCTGACAGGTAAGGGGCAGTTAAATTATCATTTGCAGTACAATATTTCAGTTAAATTTTCATTTACATGTAGTATTAATTTTTATAGTTTCCCTGTGCTGTATAATTTTATACATTGTTTTATGTAGTAGTTAATACATTATTAACCTTTTCAGGGTTGGTGCCGTACTTGTATGGCTTGAGAGCCAGGGTCGGTACCATACTTGAACGCGTATATTCTAGCACCTTCAAATCTAGCGGAAGAAAGCTGGTAGGCCTACATATGAAAGAATGGGTCTGCGTGGTCAGTGTGCTCAGTATAAAAAAAAATCCTGCAGCACGTAGTGCATAATGAGAAAAAAAAACTCAGACCATGTTTTTGGTTTAAAACAGCGAATTTGCAGTGTATTTTTGTATGGTATTTATGGTTATATTCTCGTTTTCTTGGTCCCATTTGATAGAATGCAAGATATATTACAGAAATAGAGATGATTTTGATTGGTTTCACAATGAAAAGTACCTTGAAATTGAGCTCAAAGTAGTGTAAATGTTCGATTTTTGCCGATGTTCAAGAGTAAACAAATCACGCCAAGCGTCCAATACATGTCAACTGGTGGCGAGTCTAGTATTCTTTCATAAGTGTGCTGATATTATTTATACCATTTTTACAATAATGCATAACAGTAAATCTATTTTTTGTGAGAATAAAAATTCAAAATAGAAAGCAAGAGTAATATAATAGGGGCCTGAAGACATGATTATTGAACAGATAAAATGTTATTTTAGTGCCAGGAATGTCTGTCTTGTTTATTCTGGACCTTTTTTTGAAAATGGCATCTTTTGAAGTTTGTGTGAAATGGGCCAAATTGCCAATTTTTGACCACTTCACTGGGTAGTTGAAATCGATAAATGGGCAGTTTCTTGTACTCATTTGATAGAACAAATGGAGTTCTAGCGAAATAACTATGATTTTAGCCGACTGAAACATTTTGGAATTAGCCGAAAATAGGGCTCAAAGTGGGCGAAATCCCCAATGTGTAAATATCGTTGAAAGAGCATATTTCCATAAGTTTTCCATCAAATTTCATACTTCTGGCGTTATTACCATCCGGAAAAGATTCTCTATCATTTCCTAAGAAAAAATATTTTTTTTTTTTAAATTTTCGACCCAAAGAGCGAGTTCAAGATCGTGGGGGTCTCGACCCTGAAAGTGTTAATATACTGTTATATTATCATTTGGGGTCTGGAATGGATTAATTCTATTTGCATTATTCTTTGTGGGAAAAATTGCTTTGGTTGTCGTCAATTCTGGCTGTCAAATTGACATCTGGAACAAATTAAATTTGAAAACAGAGGTTCCACTGTATACAATGAAGGTACAAGTAGATTAAATATATCATTGTACATGATTATAAGAAAAATTATTTGGATTATAATCTAGTTAGTTTATAGGTACAATTTTTTTTACATTAAATAATTTTCAATTCAAGAACTCGAATTCTTGAAGCAGCAACTATTCCAAGTAACCGTTTCATATTCTATATTTCTAAAAATCAATCTACTTCTGGTTCTCAAACCAATGAAAATTATTTCTATTTCAGTAGTATGTCTTCCATCCTATTAAATGATACCAAGAAACCACCAATAAAACCAAAACCATCAGAAAAAACACCAAACACAGTAAGTTTTGTTTTACTCATCATGCACTGCATGTGGCAGGATTTTTTTATACTGTGCACACTCACTGCACAGACCCATCCTCTCATATCTTGGCCAAAATTTACTGCTCACAGCTTATCTGAGCCAGCTGAGCTCATGACTTCAATGACCTACTTTATGTGATGGTCACTGAAAGAGTTACTCCTGCGACATGAAAGAATTTACTATGTTTTAAAGTTACCACATTTTTTTGTATGATCGAATGTAATTATACTGTTGTTAGAAATTATTACTCCTAGTGTTCAGTGTAATTCATAGTCTTTATGTGCTGTTTCCTGATTACAGGCTTCTAGCCAGAATGAGCAATACCACATATTCACTACAGGTCCAAAATTATGATTCAAACTGAAAAATTGTACAACAAATAATAGGCTTAGAAAGGATTTAAATTTAAGCTGTGTAAAGGATTTGAAAATTTCTTTATGAATTAAGGTCAAACAAGTTATAACAGACTAAACAGCACAAAGATAACCAACATGAGTTCTCAGATCCAGTAACTAAAAGCACAGTTCTTAAAACAATACAAATTAGGTTTAATACACAAAGAACAAACAAAAAGACATACAACATGATTCCTCAAGATAATGAAGAAATCCAAATGACTGCAGCTTGTTAACAGGTTAAACAAAACAAAAAGATATTAAAAAAAAAACTGGAAAACCCCCCTCACAAATATCTGTTAGGTGATTTGCTATTGTAAATTCTCATGCATATGAAGCATTCAAACTCCATACCTTAGGTGTTTTTTTTCCGAGATGGGACAGGGCATCTGGTTCTCGGAAACGCTTTACTGCTTTTTTCTCAAGAGGCGGCGAGGGACTTGAATCAAAATCATCAAAGGTAGGAGGCTGCCAGGAAGAACTCTGGAAGACGAAGACTTAATTGAATGGATCAAGCTTTCTTGGAATAAATCACTCTAAGTGCATCCACACCTCTCTCTCCACACCAACACAAAACCCAATCTACACCTTAATATTGAACATGTACCAGTAGTGCCAGGAACTGCCAAACACTCCAGAGTTCACTGATCTACACTACACTAAATTTGATAATGTCAACAATGCTTTATTGGTAAAAGAAAATTATTTTAAATTCAAAGAAAAAGTTTTAAATTGTACAGTACACTATTTGTTATACTGAAGTTGCTAAAAAGTAGTAGTATTAGTTGTAGTAATAGTATCAACAGAGCACTTGGAGATTATGTCACTCAGCATTCATACTAATAAAACAGTAATGATATACAAAACACTAAAAACAGATAAAATTAACAAACAATAAAACCTACAAACATAAATAAAATGCTTCACACAAATATTAACCATACCACGATAAAAAAAAAAGCAGCATCAATTAACCCATAAACGGTCCAAACGTATATATATGTTTTTTCAACATTTGAAAGTATGTAAAAAAAGTAGATTTTTTTTTTCTACATTTGAAAACGTGTAAAAAAATTTTGATCTACTTTTTTTTTTTTGTTACATTTGAAAATATGTAAGAAAAAACATAGATCTACTTTTGGAGCACTACACATGTGAACGTAGATCTGCTTGGACCGTTTACGGGTTATAAACCACATTGAACTATTTATGTCCAAAGACTTCCATAAAAATTTCCTGAGAACCCTACAGGCCCCCCAGTAATTATATAAACCATGACAAAGGTAAAAAAAAAATCATTAGTCTGGGGCCTATTTAAAATGAGTTCTGCAGTCAGTGGCATGTCACAAGCTACACAGGAAGGAAAGGCAGAAACACCATCAAACTGGTGACTATAGGTGAAATAGTTATTAAAAAGAACCCTTGAAAAAACTCATGTAGATTAGGCAGTGGATACGTACAGTAGAACCGCGGTACTCGAACTTAATTAATTCCAGAATGCTGTTTGAGTGTCGATCCCGACCATGGTGACTTATTTATGTATATTTAAAAAAAAAACACCAAAAATGCGAAGAAACACAAAATAGTTTACAGCAAAGTTCTGGCAGGTCGTGTTTGTTTGGTCGAGTGCTGAGCTTTGTTCAAGTAGGGAGTTGTTTGAGTACTGAGGTTCCACTGTATACAAAAGCAATGGTGTAGTATGTAATTAGATAGCATGGTAAAATGTTTAATGATGGAACAAGGAGGGGACAATACCAAGAGTGTACAACAATAATTTTATTTAAAATAACTATTACAGTGGACCCCCTGTATACGATGGCATCGGTATACGACCCCCTGTATACGATGGCATCGGTATATGTTAAATCCGGTAGACGATACATTTTAACGCAAAAATTTTGCCTTGCCACTCGTTAAAAAACCCGCCACACACGATTTGTCCAGGACGCGTCCACATGTGGACTGAACTGCCCCGTGCGTGCCAGTGTTTACAAGCCAGCCAGTGTGCTTGCATCTAAGCATACATTCGGTACATTCCATATTATCACTGTTTTTGGTGCTTGTTTCTGCAAAATAAGTCACCATGAGCCCCAAGAAAGCTTCTAGTGCCAACCCTGTGGTAAAAAGGGTGAGAATTAGTATGGAAATTAAGAAAGATTTTGAAGGGGGTGGCACAGCTATATACTACTCAGACCAACTAGAATGTATCACTAATACTTGCACAAGGGATGAACATGGGTCACCAACACCTGAGACCCCCCCCCCACCTCAGCAACGGCTAAGATTTCAGCAACACGAAGTGTCACCAACACCAGACACCCCAATATATATATTAGCGTTGAGTTCAAATGTTATTTTATTCATTTCATTTTTCATTTTTCTTTCAAATAGGATGTACCTGTCATGTTTTATTGTTTTATGTTTGCTTTAATAAATAATAAAGTGTTTATCTTTGTTAATTATTATTTCGTTTTCTATTCATTAATTTTCCTGAGGAGGAGCCAGCTTTGGTAATACTGTCTGAAGTTATTAGAGAGCTGAGTAAGCCTTCACAAATCCATTGTGCCTACTTCAAAGATTAAGGAAATGTGTGCAAAGTGGGTTGAACTGCAAACCTTTATGGATGAAAATCACCCTAACACAGCTATTGCAAGCCGTGCTGGTGACTATTACAATGACAATGTTATGGCCCATTTTAAACAAATCTTAAAGGAACGGGAGGTACAGACCTCTATGGACAGATTTGTTGTGCGACAGAGGTCCAGTGACTCTGGAGCTGGTCCTAGTGGCATTAAAAGAAAAAGGGAAGTAACCCCAGAAAAGGACTTGCTACTTCAAGTCCTAATGGAAGGGGATTCCCCTTCTAAACATTAACAACTTCGACACTCTCCCCTCCTCCCATCCCATCAATCATCACCAGATCTTCATTAAAGGTAAGTGTCATGTATTCTATTGTTAGTAGAGTACTACAAATTGTGCATGTCTTCTTCAGTTTGTGTGCATTAAACTTAATATTTCATGTGGTAAAATTTTTTTTTCACTCTTTTGGGTGTCTTGAACAGATTAATTTGATTTCCATTATTTCTTATGGGGAAAATTAATTCACCTTCCGATAATTTTGGCATATGATAAGCTCTCAGGAACAGATTAATATCGTATACCGGGGGTCCACTGTATATGAATATTTAAAATGCAAGTATGTAATTGATTTTTACCTCTCAAACATACTACAGTATCAGCCATTACCATAAAAAGCTGAAGAGGAACTCCAAAGAACATCATGAATACCTTGTTGAATTTAATACAAGACAGACATTCGGTGATTAGTAATTATAATCCAATTTATGATTATTGTTATATTAATGGGTTAGTGCTAAGCCCATTCAGGGTCATGGAAAAGGTAGGGACTTCATGGCAATTAATGAAGTCTTTGGTTTGAGTATGGTAAATTAAGATCTCATTACCCAGAAAATAACTACACTCAGCATTAAACTCACCTTTTGTTTGCTTTTCCAATTTGCCATGATGGTTACATTTGCCAGTTATTTAAGCAGCTACTAAATACAGTAATCTGAAAAGGTGGAAGTTTACATTGTGAATTATTACCTCAGGTTAGAGATGCACAGACCACAGGGCATGAGCACCAAACTAGTGGTAGATTTTGCTAGTTATTCCACAAATGCAGTTCAGCCTATGGCCTGATTTCCTTGGTAACTCCCTGATTATTATATTTATGTGGAAGCACTAAACTCATTAGACAATCAGGTTTGATCCAAGGAAAGAGAAGGGAGATTCAATTCCCTGGATCAAGAGCCCTTTACTGTATCAAGGCACAGCCCTTAAAGTGACAATCTGGTGTGCCAGGCTATTACACCCTAATGGCAATAGGCCCATAACATTGTAAATAGGGTACAATTCAAAAAGAAAAGATATCCCGGATATAAGTGCACAGTATAATCATCAAATACTACACAAAAATCTTTAATACAACTAGAAGTTGAAAAAAATCCTGAATCGAGTACTACATATATAAAGATACAGTGGACCCCGGATATCGGCCGATGCAGATATCGGCCAAATCGGATTTTGGCCACTTTTTTGGCCGAAATTCTGTCCTGGATTTTAGCTGGCAACTCGGAAATCTGCCGTATTGGACACATCCGCCTGACCATGTCCGTGAGTCAGTCTGGTTGCGTCTGTGGGCGAGTGAGCAACATTCCGCGCATTCATCCAAACATTTTGTTACAATCCATTGTTTTTTGTGGATGTTTATTGAGTGCGACTGTGAAATAAGCCACCATGGGCCGAAAGAAACACATTACCTAGTATATAAAAACATACAATGTTTATATGAAATGTATGCTTAATAATAATCACTCTTGGGCACATTAAATGTCTTGTTTTAGGTTAATACAGTGGACCCCGCATACCGATGGCATCACATAACGATTAATCCGCATACCGCTTGCTTTAAACGCAAAAATTTTGCCTCGCATACCGCTTAAAAACCCGCTCACCGATTTTCGTCCGAGACGCGTCCAATGTGCGCCCTCAGCCAGCCTCACATGTGCTGCCGGTGGCATTGTTTACCAGCCAGCCTCCGCGGTAACATCAAAGCATACAATCGGAATATTTCGTATTATTACAGTGTTTTCGGTGCTTTTTCTGGAAAATAAGTGACCATGGGCCCCAAGAAAGCTTCTAGTGCCAACCCTACAGCAATAAGGGTGAGAATTCCAATAGAGATGAAGAAAGAGATCATTGATAAGTATGAAAGTGGAGTGCGTATCGCCGACCTGGTCAGGTTGTACAAGAAACCCCAATCAACCATCGCTACTATTGTGGGCACCAGAAAGGCAATCAAGGAAGCTGTTCTTGCCAAAGGTTTAACTGTGTTTTCGAAACAAAGATCGCAAGTGATGGAAGATGTTGAGAGACTCTTATTGGTGTGGATAAATGAAAAACAGCTAGCAGGAGATAGCGTCTCTCAAGCGATCATAAGCGAAAAGGCTAGGAAGTTGCATGAGGATTTAATTAAAAAAATGCCTGCAACTAGTGCTGATGTGAGTGAATTTAAGGCCAGCAAAGGTTGGTTTGAGAGATTTAAGAAGCGTAGTGGCATACATAGTGTGATAAGGCATGGTGAGGCTGCCAGTTCGGACCACAAAGTGGCTGAAAAATATGTGCATGAATTCAAGGAGTACATAGAGACTGAAGGACTGAAACCTGAACAAGTGTTTAATTGTGATGAAACAGGCCTGTTTTGGAAGAAAATGCCAAGCAGGACCTACATTACTCAGGAGGAAAAGGCACTCCCAGGACATAAGCCTATGAAAGACAGGCTTACTTTGTTGATGTGTTCCAATGCTACTGGTGATTGCAAAGTTAAGCCTTTATTAGTGTATCACTCTGAAACTCCCAGACCGTTCAGGCAAAAGAATGTCCTCAAGGAGAATTTGTGTGTGCTGTGGAGGGCAAACAGTAAGGCATGGGTCACTAGGGACTTTTTCTATGACTGGTTACACCATGCATTTGCCCCCAATGTGAAAGATTACCTAACTGAAAAGAAATTAGAACTTAAGTGCCTCCTGGTGTTAGACAATGCCCCTGGTCATCCTACAGACGTGGCAGAGCGAATTTATGGGGACATGAAATTCATTAACATCAAGTTTTTGCCTCCTAATACCACTCCTCTCCTGCAGCCCATGGACCAGCAGGTTATTGCAAACTTCAAAAAACTGTACACAAAAGCTCTGTTTGAAAGGTGCTTTGTAGTGACCTCAGAAACTCAACTGACTCTAAGAGAGTTTTGGAGAGAGCACTTTAATATCCTCAATTGTGTAAACCTTATAGGTAAGGCTTGGGAGGGAGTGACTAAGAAGACCTTAAACTCTGCTTGGAAGAAACTGTGGCCAGAATGTGTAGACAAAAGGGATTTTGAAGGGTTTGAGGCTAACCCTGAGAGGATTATGCCAGTTGAGGAATCCATTGTGGCATTGGGAAAGTCCTTGGGGTTGGAGGTTAGTGGGGAGGATGTGGAAGAGTTGGTGGAGGAGGACAATGAAGAACTAACCACTGATGAGCTGATAGATCAACTTCAACAGCAAGAGGCCAGACCTGAGGAAACTGGTTCAGAGGAGGGGAGAGAGAAATTGAAGAAGTTGCCTACTACAAAGATTAAGGAAATGTGTGCAAAGTGGCTTGAAGTGCAAACCTTTTTTGATGAAAATCACCCTCACACAGCTATTGCAAGCCGTGTTGGCAACCTGTACACTGACAATGTTGTGAAACACTTTAGGGAAGTCATAAAGGAATGCGAGGTACAGGCCACTATGGACAGATATGTTGTGCAAAAGAAGTCCAGTGACTCTGAAGCTGGTCCTAGTGGCATTAAAAGAAGAAGGGAAGTAACCCCAGAAAAGGACTCGACACCTCAAGTCTTAATGGAAGGGGATTCCCCTTCTAAACACTAACACTCTCTCTCCCCTCCTCCCATCCCATCAATCATCACCAGATCTTCAATAAAAGTAAGTGTCATGTAAGTGTGCATGCCTTTTTCAGTTTGTGTGTATTAAAATTAACATTTCATGTGGTAAAAAATTTTTTTTTTCATACTTTTGGGTGTCTTGCACGGATTAATTTGATTTCCATTATTTCTTATGGGGAAAATTCATTCGCATACCGATTATTTCGCATAACAATGACCCCTCTTGCACGGATTAAAATCGGTATGCGGGGGTCCACTGTATAGACATTTTCATTAATCCATCTATGATATTTTCTTCAAAATTATTATAAGAAACACGTTACATAGCATATAAACATGCAATATTATCGAGTGGTGAGTTGGGAGGAGAGTAAACAATACGTTTTCTCTGATTCGTCGTTAGAGAAAACTGTGAATCTAGTGTCTGGCGCAGTCACCACCCTTCATGCTCAATTTGTTTACAATTCTCGGCATGAATTATTCATTCCAGTACTTCTCCCTTTGTTTATGATGGCATCTAAAGGTAGTTGTTAGAAATGATTAAACTCAAAAAACATGGTATAATAATATGGCTGTGTAGTGTAGCCCAGGGGGAGGCTACATACGCATACCTACATCTACCGCTGTTTACACTGACTTCCTACAAATATTACTCACCTCTTGCCCTACATTAAGACTACAAATATTTGAGGTAAGTAATGACTGTACTGTGGCAGTAAATGACAAAGAAGGGAAGTAACCCTAGAGAGGGTTTTGATACCTTATGGAGGGGGATTCCTAACTCCCTCTCCCCACCTTGTCTTCTTCAATACACCAACAAGAATCTTCAATAAAGGAATGTAAAGCTCATTTATCATTAAAATTTATGCTTTATATTTATTTTTCATTGTTTTCTGTATGTAAAACAATAATTAATCTTTAAAAAATTTATTTTTTGTTAATATTTTTGGGTGTCTGAAATGGATTAATTGGATTTACATTAATTCTTATGAGAAATATTACTTCGGTTTTCAGCCTTTTTGGCCAACCTTCTGGAACGGATTACGGCCAATAACCGGGGTTCCACTATACTTTATTTCGGTATGATACAATGTTTGTACAAAGGTGAATTACATTTACATGTGCATGACCACAGCCTCTTAACATGCAGAGCATTTTGGGCAAACTTGCAACTAACCTAAGATTAATAAGAAAATGACAAATTGTTTGACATATACAATCTCTTAGGTGATTGCCAATATAAATTTAGGAGTTACAATGGATATAACTGAATATGGGGCAGTCACCCTCAAATTTTAATTGCTTTGCTGTCTGGTCAATAACCATACCTCTGCTTGAACAATGGTTTACACTTGAATGAACTTTCATAATATCCTTCAGGTCATTACCCATTTGTAAGTGCTACTTGAATGACTGCCAGTTCTATAGCTAGTAACCAGCTATTGGACCAGCAGTCAGTTGACCAACAGCCATATAGCATAAATTTTTTAAATATGTACTACTGACATGGCAGTCAGGCAGGAACCAGTTAGGTGGTTCGGTTGGGTTAAGTTATACAAGCCTTTAAAATTGTATAGTTAACCACTAATAAGCAAACTGTTAAAAACTGTCAGACTGGTATGGCAACATGGAGCCCCTTGAACGATAACCAGTTCAACAGCTGTTTACATGTGGGCAACTGACAGCTGATACAATATCCTCTGCTATTAGTTATTTTGAACATACTTAAATTATATTCATCAGAAAATGCTGAACCAGTTGAAGTAACAGTATGCAGGGAATGGGAGATAAGCTTTAGAGCCAACAAAATTTTTTACAGACTATAGGAAGAAATTTGTACAATGGTTCTGAGAGTGCACACTTGTGGGGGAATGGTACCCTGGAAAGCCCTCAATGCTGTAAATAATTAAAGCTAGGAAGTCAACCAGGGGGCAAGATCAGCAACTTGTTAAAAAATAACCACAAGTTATCCATCACATATGGTACTTGGGTAGTATATTTTGGGTAAGATTAGATTAGGATATGCTATTGCTTGCTAAAATTTCTAATAAATCTTTATATGGGGAACTCTTCATCAACATCAAAACAGTGAAGACTTTTCCTGACTGATCAGATATTATCAGAAAACTTTATTTGGATTAAACTCTCAAAGGCTGAGTAACTATCAATAACCCAATAAAGTAAATGTGACTGATTTCCATTAGGGTCCTTTTTTAGTTCCTTACCCAGGATGCAACCTACAGTTATCTATTTACTGGTGGATGACCAGGGGCAGCAGGTGTTAAACTTCATTATACACGCCTCTTCATAGTGGGGTTTGACCCCCAAATCCTCTCTGGTGTGGGGCCCAGCATGGTTACCATTGTGCTGTGATATACCTGCTGATATAACCTAAGATAACCCAATAAAGTCAGTGTAATTAGGTTTCATCCTAGAGAAGGGCATCTCTAATCCCTCGGATCAAGAATCTTTCCCTAGCCTATATGAAGGACTAAATACTTTCATTGGTGTTAATGGTGGAGTTAGCAGAATCCTCAGTTCACACACTAAGGGACCAGGGCTCGCTCCCCGGCATGGGTGAAACAATGGGCATGTTTCCCTACACCTGCTGTCCTGTTTACCCAGCATTAAGTAGGTACCTGGGTGTTAGTCGACTGTTGTGGGTCACATCCTGGGAGACAAGATTATATGAGTAAGTTAGTTTATTCTGGTACAGATACACAAATACAGTTACATAAATTATTTTATCATACACAGCGGCCTATGTGTAGATTACCTAAGATAACCCAAAAATGGTCAAAGTGAGTTATTTCGTCATATATGACACATCGACTTTATTGGGTCACTATGGGTGGTTAGCATCCCCAGGTTAAGATAAAATTTGTTCGGGTTTTTAACCCGGGGAGGGTTAGCCACCCAGGATAACCCAAATCAGTGCATTATCAACGACTTTGTCTTATTTCCATTGTGGTCCTTTAATCTTGTACCCTAGAATGCGATCCACAAGTCTACTAACGTCTAGGTACCTACTTACTGCTAGGTGACCAGGGACAGCAGGTGCAAGGAAACACGTCCAATGTTTCCACCTGTGCCGGAGACTGAACAACGGACACTCAGTGTCTGGCAAGTGTGTTGCCAACCGAGCCACGGGACACCGTTGGTACTATGACATGCTATGCACCTTATGGACCATCAGATTATTGTGTGCTTTATATTTATGCAGTAATATTAAAGTAAACATTTGTATTTGTATCAAATGCATGTTGTTTGAGATATTCCAAGACTCGGCGTACTTATTTGGTGTCAAGTGTCAAGTATACTGAAGCAACATACCTACATAACTTGTTATCTCAGTAAGATGGTCACTTGTAATATATTCTCACCTGTAGACACCTGAGGTACACGTAATAATTCACTTGTTGCTTCAGCTGTCTCTCTCAAACACTGTTGACATCTGTACCAGCACTAGCCAATCACCGTCCACCTCTCATGCCTAACCACCAATAGCAAACCAGCTAAAAATTGCAAAGGACCTCGTGTATAAGACCAGTAAATATTACAATTATATCATTCAAGGTTTAGTAAATTGTTCATTCATTATAAGAGTAGAAATAAATACCTTCACTTCACCAACGTTATTGTTATTATCCAAGCAGATACAAGGTATTGTTTGCTTAGTGATAAGTCAGTGTTTGACTTCATTGGGTTACGCTATCTAAAATTCTAGTTAAATTAATATATAAAAAAATAAGTAAGAAATTGACTTATTTAGGCTTTGTGTATATAGCAAACAAATTTCTAACAATGGCCCTGATGGAACAGAGATGTTATGACACATGAGAGTACATAATATAGATTTTACCTGGAATAACCAAACAATGTCAAGTAGTGTGACTTATGTCCATTAGTGTCGCTGTCAATTTGCTTAATTACATGGCGCCAATTATACAAATATACGCATCACATTAATAAATTAATTATGAACGTTTAACTATGAACATTTTTAATCACAAGAAATCGTTATCCTACCTTTTCGCCCTTTCATTCATAAAATATTCTATGATTGTTCTTTACTTGTATACTATGACTGGCCTTGGCGTGATAAGATTAAGTTTATTTCTTTGTAAAGGTTAAAATGTGTAATTACAATTTTGATTTGCTAAGTACAAAGATAGCCACTATCATGCCGCGGCATTCTGGGCAGACTAATCCTAATACATAGTAACAGTTTCATTCCTTTATTACTGTATAACAGGTGGCTGTGGCTGGCCACCTACTTCCCTAGCACCAACTATCTTTGCTTCCTAACTTGTGCACTGGTTACCATAAGATCATTCTTATTATCACGGGAGAATACTAAACCCGGAGGGATTTTACAGCGCCTCTGGGGCCGGTATGGGTGGGGGGGGGAGGAATGGAAGGTATTCTGGCTTAATTCAGGGAACTGGAGCAGACCCAATTCCCTAGATCAAGAGCCCCCTCACCAGCATCAAGGAACCTCCCTTGAGGGTTAGCCACCCAGGATAATCCAAGAAAATCAGTGCGTCATTGAGGACTGTCTTAATTCCATTATGCCCTTCAATCTTGTCCCCCAGGATGCCAATCAGAACTACTACTTACTGCTAGGCGAACTGGGACAGCAGGTGTCTTCCTCTTTTTCGGGTCACTCTACTTCGGTGGGAGACTACAGGTTGAAATAGTAGATGAAGTTTACAGCATTAAGAGATTACAGCAGAAGCTACAAGACCACTTTAGTGATGGCGTCTATTTTGCTGAAATTGCTGAAAAGAAGAATGTGATCTGTTTTCGAGATAAGATAGATTTCATTATCAATAACAACAATAATAATATCTTTATTTCTACAAGTACATGTACAAGGTATACAGTCCTAGCTGACATCAATGACATACTACTACATAGAAAGCCACTTGTTATGCAGAGCATTTCGGGCAAATTAGGTCAGTTTTGTCCCAGGATGCGACCCACACCAGTCGGCTAACACTCAGGTACCCATTATTACTGATGGGTGAACGTAGACAACCGGTGTAAGAAAACACGTCCAATGTTTCTGTTCTCGCCGCGAATCGAACCCGTAAGATAAGATAAGATAAGATTTCGTTCGGATTTTTAACCCCGGAGGATTAGCCACCCAGGATAACCCAAGAAAGTCAGTGCGTCATCGAGGACTGTCTAACTTATTTCCATTGGGGTCCTTAATCTTGTCCCCCAGGATGCGACCCACACCAGTCGACTAACACCCAGGTACCTATTTGCTGCTAGGTGAACAGGACAACAGGTGTAAGGAAACGTGTCGAAATGTTTCCACCCGCCGGGAATCGAACCCGGGCCCTCCGTGTGTGAAGCGGGAGCTTTAGCCACCAGGCCACCGGGCCACTTAGTGTGAAGCGAGAGCTTTTGCCACCAGGCCATGAGCCACCGTAAGTGGAATTCAGAGTGAGGAAAATCAACACAAGCGGCAGATAGGATTGTAAATGCTGCTGCTAAGATTATACGAGAAAAGATTTGAGAAGCAAAAATACACACGAATATCCAGTTAGCCGATGACACTGAAGATCTAGAAAGGAGACAGTATTTAACTCCACTTCGTAAGTTTGTACAAACACACATACAAGCAAGTGATATCAAGTATGATGTAAACTTTAGAAAACCGACAAGTTGAAGAATGAGAGACACTTGGGCGACATTTGGGAATCTTTACTGAGGAAACGTTTCGCCCGCCAGTGGCTTCTTCAGTCTGTTAGGTAAAAGGACACAAGTGGAACTAATGTGACACTTGTGTCCAGGAGCTTCATCAAGCCATTACAAACAATACACGGACTGAAGTGACTGACGAAAAGATTCCCAAATGTTGCACAAGTGTCTTTAGTCAGCAAGTGATATCAGCAGGTTAGTATTGGTAAAGCTGTTTTACAAGATGTGAAGCCGATTCTCTTTGAATTACGATCACGATAGCTCATAATTGAGATTTCTTCAGATTTTTTTTTCAGTTTCATATGGTGAAGTTTGTTTACTGAAGAATTGAGGTAAGCAAGAGGAGAGTCTGGAAAGTAACACCTCCATCATACCCAACACTCACAGGTTGGTGTTGCTGAAGGATAAGATAAGATAGATAAGATTTCGTTCGGATTTTTAACCCCGGAGGGTTAGCCACCCAGGATAACCCAAGAAAGTCAGTGCGTCATCGAGGACTGTCTAACTTATTTCCATTGGGGTCCTTAATCTTGTCCCCCAGGATGCGACCCACACCAGTCGACTAACACCCAGGTACCTATTTGCTGCTAGGTGAACAGGACAATAGGTGTAAGGAAACGTGTCGAAATGTTTCCACCCGCCGGGAATCGAACCCGGGCCCTCCGTGTGTGAAGCGGGAGCTTTAGCCACCAGACCACCGGAACCACCAGACCACCGGAAAGCAGCAGACACTCAAAAGAACAAATATACAGCATGGAGGAAGCTTGCGGCAGGGTGCCTCTAAAGATTCGGAAACACATATTCATTCATACTTGGTGTGGGTGCAACACTACGTCAGCAACATACGATCATGGAAAGATATACTTGATGATACAGCTGAAGAAGTCCATAGATTTAGGAGTTGTGTCAACCATCGTCAGTATGCGAGATGAGACAACAGTAGAAGTTTGTGATGCTAGAATTCGTCTTCTTGGCTTACTGTACGGAGGAAGTAGGAAGGACACACTCACTACTCTGAGGTGTGCCATATATATGACAATGGCGACCAAAAGTAGAGCAGACATGCATGCGAATACAAATAGGAAGCGCGTCTGTTTGGCGTTCAACAGTTGGAGGATCAAGCCTCCACCAAGTCTTGCGCAGAATGACACACATGGGTTTAGCGCTTAACATGAATTAGTTAGATGACCAAGAGTAACAGAGTAGAACCCCATGGGATGCCACTTAATGAATGTGCAGCACACTACCACAGCTTACTCGTCCACCTCCAGGTTGTGTGGGGACACGATCTTAGCAATGACAGCTGAAAATGTTGTATGGGGGGGGGGGGGTAGGTCAATGGATCCCTCCAATCCATTATGACTGATAAAGATGCAGTTCCATCAAAGTCCTGAAATATATACGGTGCAAGTGCAAAAAAACAGGAAAGAATCCATGTTCCTGTCACAACAATGGTTTAAAATGTATACTGGTACGTGCATGGTGTCTCGACGTACATGAATGGTATACAATACCGACAGGATGAAGAATTAGACACATGTGCAACATCTGGGTATCTTTATTCGTAAACCTTTCGCCATCCAGTGGCTTTATCAATACAAGGACATCATACCTGATAAAGCCACTGGATGGCCAAACGTCTACAAATAAATATACCCAGATGTTGCACAAGTGTCTCGAATTTTTCATCATGGTATCGAGGAGAATCCTGAAACAATACTGAACCTGTCATGGTCACTGATGACCAAACTTATGTCCTGGAGATATAAAAAGTACACAGACATTGTCATGTCCCCAGTTCACTTGACAGAAAATAAAATAATCATGCCATTGAAAGGTCCTTATTTTATATCTCTGTTAAAAAATGTTTCTAAAGTAAATTGATTTGGATTTTAAATGTGACTCAAAACATAACCCTGCGTCAAATGTTACCAAAATCATTTATTTGTAAGGGAATTTTTTCCGGGTTCGCCTATTCTTCTACTAGACTGTTTCTCATTCTTCAGAGAAGACAAAGTTGTCTAGACAGCCTATGCTAGTAGCCTGTAGCTCTAATATTTCATGGTTAATTGTGCCAAAATCTCGTTGAAAGTGTAAGGTCACATGCCTGTGCAATTCCCTTGCGACATTTGGGCTCTTATATAATCCAGCAGGTTAATTAAGCAGGCATCCGTTGAGTGAGATCCACTGAAACCTGACTGATAACTATGAAGGATGTTATGGTTATTTTAGACACTTAACTGCTTGATAATTATATACTACTTTCTCAAGGATGTTGGACAACATGATGCAGGCTGATAGTTACTGACACACGAATTACTATTTTTCTCGAAAATAAGAGTGACTCTTAGTCACTGAGCTCCTCCGGCACAGTATTGGAGGTGGATAAATTTATTATGTAAGCTATGGGTACGTTCAATTAAGAGTCACCGTCTTTCAGGAATCTGGCTGGAATGTTACTAGGTCCGGCGCTTGCTGGCTGGGTTCACCTTGCTTGGTTCCTTTTGTACAAATTCATAAGACACCTGACAGCGGGAACTTCCTGAGGGTGATGCCTTCATTGCTGTAATATTCTTACCTTCATGAAAGGGAAACGCTAAACCTGCAGGTGCTATACAGCACCAGAGGGAAATGGAAGGCATTCAAGTTCTATTCAAGGAATTGTAACACAGGTCCAATTCCTTAGATCAATAGCCCCCACCAGCACCACGGTACATCCCTTGAGAGGACTTATCACTGTAGATTTAATAGGCATTAGTGTTAAGTAGGTTTGTCAGGAAACAGGACAAGTGACGC